AGGGCCTTCTTATGAAATCTATGATTACTCAAATGATATGGGCCTAACAATCCATATGAGAAAAATAGAAGTTGAAAATGTCCAATATCCAGACCATGCCATGCTATAGATAGTCTGTCTATTGAATTAGTTAGTATATACGTGCACACATATACATATGTACACATGCATTTGAGTTTTTAGGTTCAAAATAGCCCAACTACTCAAAGATTTTCTAGCTTGACAAGTCTTACTAGAGCTTGTATTCCTTTGTCATAACCTTTGAGACCAATGGATCACCTGCGCAGTGCCATGAGTCTTTGGGAAATGGCTTTCATGGACAGTTATGTGGCTTATAATAAATGGTAAACGCAAAATCTCTATGGTGAAATGTGTTCTTTAAAACAAGAATAGTAACTTACAGAGGCAAAATCCTAAGCCTGTGGCCCCAGCATTTGAACCTATGGACCTAAGCTTTTGAAGTTAATGCAGCTTGTTTAATGAAAATCACCAAAAGGTATCATTTCTTCTTCCTTCCTTCCAGTCTTCTTATACCTTCCTGCTTTCACACACTCCATGATCTAATGACACTGGCCTCCTTGAAGTTCCTCACAAAAGATACTTCGTCTTGTAGCTCCAAGCATCTTCACTGGCTTTTCCCCAGTGGAACTCTCTTCTGCCTCATCTGTAATTCCTGGCTTCCCTGGCTTCCTTTAAGTCTCAGCTGACGTCCCACCTTCTGCAAGAAACCTTTCTTGGTCCTTAATCTCTATGCCTCTACTCTAAGATTATTTACAATTTATCTTGTGTTGTGTGTGTGTGTGTGTGTGTGTGTGTGTGTGTGTGTGTGTGTGAGTACTCCTGTTCATACATAGCTTGCATGTTATCTCCATTAGACTATGAAGTCCTTGAAAGCAGGGAGTTTTCTGTCTTTCTTTGTATCCTCAGAATTTAGCATAGTGCCTGGCACATCGTAGGCACTTGATGAATACATTTTTGCTTGATTTGAATTGATTCTTTGTTTTGGTTTGGAACTATTCTTTCAGTGGTAAATAGAACTAGGAGGGAGATTCCTTGTATGAAATAGACAAAACTTTTCTGAAACTTTGAGTCTTAGAGAATTGCCTAAGGCACTGAGAGATTGAGTGATTTGGCCAGGGTCATAAGGCTTTGTGTGTCAGAGGCAGGACTTGAACCTATCTCTAAGGCCAGAATTCTGTTCACTATGCCACAGTGCCTCTCCATTTGTAGTACTTCATAAAAAACTACTAGTACCTAGCACTTGGGATCCTCTTTGGCTTCACCCCAAATAACTTTCTTGCTTTGATCATTCAAGACTATATCCAGGGAAGACATACAGTACAGACTGTGTTACAATTGCTGAACTAACCCTTGGCAAAAAAATTAATCCAGTGTATTTTCCAAGCCATAGTAGGTTAGTTTCCTTTAGCCAAAGCCCTTATTCCTTAAACATTAGGAATTTGGAATTTGAGAAATTAGGAAATTGAGTGATGGGAGACACATGGTTCAGGAAAATTGGTGAAAAGAGATCAGTAATGTAGGGTTATTTATATATTGCATCAAAGTTTTAAAGGGAAAAGCAGACTAAAAGAAAAGTACTTTCTTGGATGAGCTAAATATGGGTTACCTGGAATTCAAGGGGTTGATTCATGTAGACAGGAATGAGAGCTAAACTCCAGGTGTGTGATTGGAACAACAAGAAAGAAAAGGTGAAATATTAAGTCCCCTGCCGTATAAATAGAAGGAGTAAAAGAGTACTATTTCCCAAACATGGTTATTGGTCATTTATTTTTGTTATGCCATTTAAGAAAAAATCCAGGAAAGCCACAGAATTTTTCTCACCATCATCTAGAAAAAGTTTACAATACCATGGCAGTTTGTGTAGGACTTAGGAATTGTTTTTGGAAGTAACAATGATTAGCCAATACAATCTTCATCACTGTTGCATATATTAGTGCTGGGATTGCAAGCTAGGTGACTGGTCAGCAGCTATCCTTTTGCTCAGACCTCTATGATAAATTTCATCTAGGTGATCCTTACTTCTGACTTTGGTTATTTCTTCCTCTACTACAAAAGATAACAATATAACATAACATAACATAACATAACATAACATAACATAACATAACATAACATAACATAACATAGCATAGCATAGCATAGCATAGCATAGCATAGCATAGCATAGCATAGCATAACATAACATAACATAACATAACATAACATAACATAACATAACATAACATAACATAACATAACATAACATAACATTAGTGTTCTGGTGAATAGAGAGCTAGGTCTACAGTCAGAATTTGAATCTCACCTCAGATTATTATTAGCTATATGGCCTTGGAGAAATCACTCTTCAGGCCTCAGTTTCTTCATCTCTAAAATGAGAGGGTTGGACTGATCTTTAAGGTCCTTTCCAGTTTTACATCTATAATCTTGTGAAACCCATCCTTTCCACTGTAAATTGACGTTTGCACAGTTCTAATAGTAAATGCTTGTTCAGTTGTTTCAGTTGTGTCTGACTCTCCATGACCCCATTTAGTGTTTTGTTGGCAAAGTGAATGCTTAGTTGTGGCTTATAGAATCTAGTTCCTTAACCTGCCATGAAATTGTTGCTTGAAAAGGTTGGGAATTGCTGACGAAAGGCATGTTTTGAACTGACGTAAATATGAGAAATAGTTGGCATCTACTGGAGAGATTAAATAGAATGTTCAGAGAGAGATTGCTCTGATGAAGGGCAATAGAGTGATTAAACTCAGCCTGTGCCAGTATTGAACCAGGGCAAAAATGTGCTCCAAAGCTCAGGGCACAGCTATTGTTTTATTGCACTTCTGTCATAAAATCACTTTCTAGTTTTCAAAAGATACTGATAAAAGTATTTTTATGACTCATATATCTTAAGTGGATTTCAAATGAAAAATATTACTCATTGGAGAATAATCTTTTTAAAAAATCCTCATTTTTCTGCTTCCAGTTATTTTTTCTTTTCTTTTCCCACTATACCTTTGTGCTTCTTTCTCCCTCCATTGTTCTTTTTTTAAGCTGTTTTATCTTTTTATATTCTTAGTGTTTTAAATGTAATTTAACTTTCACAAAAATGTTGAGTTTTAAAATAATTTGAGATTTTATTAATTTTAAATTGACCTTAGCCAGCATTTTTAACTTGGCTTACTAAAATAAGTAAAACTCATGGACTAAGTCATTGTGTAGCTTGAGCAAATTCAATCACTTTCATCTCATCATGTGTTTGATCTCCTTTTTCTTTGAAATGTTATTTTTGGGAAAAAATTAAACAATTTTTTTTTCTACTACTTTAGCACGAAGCACTCTATACTTAGATTATGTATATAAAGTGGGACTAACTCATACTTCCTGTGCACTCCGTAAAAATACTGGGTGGTGCTATTGTCTGCCTGACCTCTCCTTTAGTACAATCCCTAGTCCCCTTATTATTTCTTTATACCAGGGCTGGATGGGGTGGGTCCTTGTGGCCACTGAGCAACATGGCACTAGAAGAGATAGAGCCTGAGGTTGGACTCAATATTGACATAAACTTTCATTGGTCCCTTTCATTGTTTCCTCACATGTCGTAACTCATATTTCTATGGTATTTATCAAAGTATCTGCTGAAACATCTCCAAAGTTTAAACACTTAAATTGCTCTTTGACCAAGAGGACTGAAAGACTTTGGATGATAGCAAGGTAACAGAACTGTCTTACTGACATATAGCTTAGGAGTGATCTAAAATATTTCTAAAAGTGACCTAGTAGTGTCAAAAATGTTAGACAATTTAAAAATTTCCTTTCTTTGTATGTGACAAGTAGTGAGCTATAAATAATTGTAGATATCTTTATTGGCATGGTATCAATGAGTTTCTCTTTTAAACTACATGGGAAAAGTTACACATTTGACACTTTCCTGAATTCCATATTTAATTTCACTAAAATAAAAAAATGTTATGCTTAGTTAAAAATTGTTTCAAAAAGTCAGACCAGTAGACCATCCAGTCCAGTATTACATCTCTGCCAATGGGCACAAGTGATATACTGTGGGAAGACACAGTAGTTACTCTCCAAATTATCACCTACAAAAATTAAAGATGTACTCTGTACATCTCAAATTTATTATTAATACCTATTGTGGTATTATTAGTCATTCCTTTATTATCTAAACTCTTTACATTTATTTAAATTTACATCTGTAACAACTTCCCAGGGTAAAATTTTTTTTCTAAAATTAAATTTACTCCCTATTGTGTATAGTAGCATGGTGCTTATTTTTATGTAATTCAAATAAATATTTTTGGGGGTATCTGAAGAGTATCTTAAAGGGAATGTTATAATGAAAGAGAATACTAAAGGTGAACAAAATTAAAGACACTGAGTTTTTCTTAATATAGAAACTGTCTTGTATAAGAAGAGTAGTTACATAGTTAGCAACATTAGGCCGGATATATTATCACATCCTATGTAGTACTTCTACATTTGAAACTTCTTTGAAATGAATGAGAAATTTTGATGAGATGCACCTGATGATAGGAATTAAGGATATGATTAGCTAAGTGTCATTGCTTCTAAAAAAGAACATGTTTAAAAAAAACCTAAGGATAGAAATATTAGCATTTAGCCAGAATATCATCTATGTGGAACTGCAGAAGTTTTATTCTTATATTTAACCCTAATGCACTGCATTATAGGTGTGTGATGAAATTTTGTTGAATTGAATTGAATTTTAGATTAAGAATAGCCTTCTTTGTCTGAATAATGCCTCCTCTCTGATTTCCAGAAATATTTGGGAATTGGCCACCTTTTTTTTTTAACCAATTAATTATATGTCAATTCAGTTGAATAACATTTTCAGCAAGCCCCTAGAATGCATGACAGTTTGAAAAAAGATAACATTCTGATATTAAATTCCAAGATGCATCAAATCAGCAACTCTGAAATACTACCCAAAATTCATTTTGTTTTGTTTTGTTTTGTTTTTACAGAACTGAACTGAAACTGACCCGAAAAACCGCATATGTGAGATACTTCAATAGCTCAGCCTTCTTCTTCTCAGGTTTCTTTGTTGTATTTTTAGCTGTGCTTCCTTATGCCTTGATCAAAGGAATTGTTCTACGAAAAATATTTACAACCATCTCATTCTGCATCGTTCTTCGAATGGCAGTCACTCGGCAGTTTCCCTGGGCTGTGCAAACCTGGTATGATTCTCTGGGAGCAATAAACAAAATACAGGTAGTGTATAACAGCTACACATAATATGTAGCACTTTCTGGGCATTTCTACACTTGCTATGAGCCTTCTTTCATCACAACAGTTGTTCTCAATCTGATCAATTTTTCTACAGAGACGGCTATTGGATTGAAGGAAAGTCATGACAACTGCAGAGTGTTTTAGTCTTTTGGTCCAGAGACTTTTCTGTGGATTCTCACTGGATTAGCCCTGGGATTATTCATTTTCACACAGATTGGTGGCAGAATAACTAGAAAGATACAAAATTTACCAGGCAATACCTCTATTAGAATAAATGTTTCTAAATCATATGGTTGGAAATGATTAAGTCTGAGCCAAAATGGCCTTATATGCCAAGTCAAATTACTCACAAAACTTAGCATTGATGATAACATTAAGACCTTTTGAGAGAAGTTTTAAAGCACACATCTAGTAAGTTATCTTTTAAAATGTAGGACAGACTCCTTTCTAGTTTCATTGGATCATAGACTTAGGCAATCGATAAGTGTTTATCAAATACCTACCACGTGCCAGGTGCTGCATGGGGTGCTCTGGGAGGACTAGTGCCTCTCGTTTGAAGGCTTGTTGAGCCCTTTTCAGGGCTGCTCATCTACCTTTGATGTCCACCTGTCACCAACTGTCACCTGTGGCTTCAAGAGTATGTAGCATGGGCAGTGGCCACACCCCAATAAACCATCTAGGTAGATGGGCTAAACCACTTGTGAATAACTGAGAGGCCTCAAACTTGTTTGTGAGTTAGGGAGATGTCTACCCCAAGTGTGTGAAGATTTCCCCCAGTGGAATGGGCAGATGAGAACAATTTATTCCAATGGCCATGAAGGCAGCTGGAGCAGGTGCTGTGGAGCACTTAGAGCTTGGTCAGACATCAAAACTGTCAAACTCATCCACTGCTTCCTGGGCCATCATAAGTTGTCCTGATTTTTGTCTTGCTACTGGACTTTGATGACCCGGAAGAGTCTGATGAGAGGTTGATGACTTTGTGCAACTCTGCCTCACTTAAATCTAATTCATGAGAAAGTCAAGACATCACCCTGTGACATCATTAGTCCTCTTCAAAAGAGAAGGATGAATAGCGGCAGCTAGGTGGTACAGTGGATAGAGCACCAGCCCTGAAGTCAGGAGGACCTGAGTTCAGATCTGGCCTCAGACCAAACACTTGACACTTACTAGCTGTGTGACTGTGGGCAAGTCACTTAACCTTAACCTGAATTTCCTAAAAAAAAAAAATTAAAAAAGAAGGATGAATAACAACAACTAGGTGCCAGGCATTGTACTAAGCACAGTGCTGAGTGGGTCTTAGAGGTCAGCTAATTAAATCCCTTCATCTTCCAGAGGAGGAATCTCAGTCTCAGAGAGGTTAAGTGACCCCAAGGTCATATGGGTAATAAGTAGCAAAACCAGGATTCAAACCCAGGTCCTTTGATTCCAAATCCAGTGTTCTTTAAACCAAACCACACTTTCTTTCATTATCTACAACTGCACAAAGAGATGACAACTTCTGTGATTTTTTTTTTAGTTGAACATTTATTGATCTTCCTTTGAATATTTAACTTACAGATTATTTTCATTTTTATTCTAATCTCTAGATCACTTTATATCAATTATATATATGTATATATATGTATATACATATACATATATATGTATATATATATGTATATACATATACATATATATATATATGTATATATATATGAATATGATAAATGAAGAAGGTCTCAGACCTTGAGTAGGATCTGTTTTTCATGAATACTACCTAGGTGACCTTGGGCACGTCACTTATTTGGGCATCAGTTTCCTCATGTGTAAAATGAGAAAGTTGGCATAGATGGTGTCTAGTGTTCCAGTTCTAGATCTATAATCTTTAATAATAATCAAAGTGAAAACTTTAAATCAGCGATTTTAAGAGGCCATTTACTCATTCACCAGCAGTTGTTTTTTTTTTTCAAGCTTATATTGGAAGTTGGGTTACACTTCCCAAGAGAACTAACTACATGTGTGTGAGTCAGAGAAACATGTGTGAAAGTCTTTGGTATAGATGTGCTCCAACTTGCACCCCTTTTCTGCACTTATCTTCCCTAGCAAGGATGGTAAAAACCTTTGACTTATGTAACTTCTAAAATCTCTTTTTCCTTAGGACTGTGGATTGATCCTTTAGGAAGAGTTGTATCAGATCTTCTACTTAGTTTAGTAAGTTTATAGTGTAGTAATTAGTGTAGTAATTTCATCTTACTAAAGATGAAATCATAATAACTAGTAATAATAATATTAAGGATCAAATTATAATATTAATATGCTATAAGGAGAATATATTTTATTAAAATTCCGATAGGTTTCCTTAATATTTCAGCCATATTGAGCTATATATCTAGGCAGTACAGAGTCAGTCAGTCAATAAACATTTATTAAATGTCTACTATATGCCAGATGTTGTTTTAAACAATGGAAAAAAAATACAAGCAGAATGAATGTGTTATGGGGTAACACATAAACACATAAAAAGGAAGCTGAAAATGGGAGCGGGGTGGAGTGGGGAATTAGAAGGTGGAGGTCCCTTCAGTATACAGAACATGGGTGGGTGGCTGGGGGGCAATCTGAGAGAATCTGGAGTGCAGCCTGAAGAAGAATGAGACATAGCTGGCCTGGGAGCCCTTCTTAAATGGAGGTTCTGAGAGGAGCCACTCATTCAAGGGGAAAATCCGAAGGTGCTGAGGGTACTTCCAATGTATGAGTACCAACATCTGGAGGATAGAGATTTCTGCTAAATCCCAAGTTATGGACTCTTTTTTCCTTGCAAGATGGGCATAATACAAGTGCCTTCAGCATAGGAAAATGATCTGTGTTGTCAGATCAGCAGGCTTCTGACTCAGGATGGTCTGCTGGGGTGGCCAACCCTGGCATCAGGCTCTCTGCCTCTTGTTATTGTTCCATCTTCTACAATCCTCAGCTCTGACAACCTGGTGATGTAGTTAGAGCAGGGATTCTTAACCTGGAGTCTCTGATCATTAACACTTTTTCATAACTGTATTTTAATGTCATTGGGTTTTTTGGTTATCTTTGTCTTTATTTTATGCATTTAAAAACATTATTCTGAGAAGGGATGCATAGTTTTCACCGGATTGCCAAAAGATTAAGTACCTCTGGGTAGAGTTTTCTTCCTAACAGAGTCAATAGTTCTGGAATTTGGACATATTGAGGAAGAACCACTTCCTTGTTAACAAAGAAAAAATTGTTTTACTGAAAATTTTGTATGTTCAAGTATGGTTTTTGCTGCAATGTAAAAATTCATATCAGAATTGTGCAATATAAGTATAACTGTTGAGCTCTTGAGTCTCTAAATTACACTTCTTAAGAAGTTTCAAGCTTGTATTATAATATCTGTACTTGGAATTTAGATAATGATGTATTGGAAATAGGTATACGAGTGTATAATTGTTATTTTTGGTTACACGGTATCTGTTTCTGCTCTCTTTTATAAACAGGATTTCTTACAAAAAGAAGAATATAAAACATTGGAATACAACTTAACAACTACAGATGTTGTGATGGAAAACATAACAGCATTCTGGGATGAGGTCAGGATTAAAAAAAATCCAAATAATTGTATATTATTTTATTTGCTCTAAATACTTAAACATTTTGACCTTTTACATTTTGGATTTGTTCTGTAGGGTGACGGCTATAATCACAATAGAATTTTAGAGTTGACATTAACCAATGCTCCTATTTTTTTTTGGATAAAAAACCTACAGCTTAAAAAGGTCAAGCATATGTTACATATTATTTTTAATCAAAGGGAATTGCGATTTGAGATGTTCCTTGTTTGAGATCCCATGGCCAAGTAGTAGAGTAAGTAGTGGAATCTAGAATAAAATCCAGGACTCATGATCCCTAGTCCCTTACACTTTGCCTACACTACAAAAAGATATGCAAACCAATAACTTTTAGTACTCTTATACTTTGATACTCTTATCAGTTTGGAAACTTTTCTATTAATTGTTTATATTTCTTGTTCCCTCAAATAGTATTTTGTATCTTCTAATATTAGAGAATAATTTTTGTTTCAGTTAACAATAGCAGCAGGCACTTTCCCTTTCATAGCTTCATTTACTTATGAAACATATTTTCTTGTCATTTAGGCCTTCTGTGCCTAGAGAATAAGAGCCAAAAATAAACCAGAAAAAAAAGGAGCAAGAAAAAACAAAACAAAATATTTTTCTTAGTTTGAGTTATTTTACCCACTCCAGTATTAGGCTGGGTCTTATTAGCCCCTAGGTCACCTGAGCTTCTTTCTCTCTTTCTCCTCCCATCTCCTTCTTTATCTATTGAAAATGCACAGATTGGTTTAAAAACAGCTCAGCTCACGCCTCCTCCTTAGGAGTAGAAATTCCAAACCCCATCCCAACAGGAAGAAGAGATAGTTTCTTTTCCTTATCTCCTCAATTCCTTGGTGTCTCATCTAAAGCCATAGTTAGTAATAAGGCACCTGAGGGAAGGCCAGCTCTTCTAGTTAACTGTGTGCATCTGAAGCTCCCTCATCTAGAAGTTCAAAGGAACCAGGTGTGTGCTGGGGAACTGCCAGATGTAGTCAATATCCACTCATTTATTTTCCTGATTTGTTCCAGGTTAGAGTGGGTATAGTGTTACTGACCTTCAGCAGTACATTATGGAGAGCCCAAGATATCTGGGCTCTTTTTTTTCCCTTTTAAGTATTTTGAGTTTCTCAGTCAGTTATATTGTGTATGAGGGTAAGTATCTTAGAATCTAATGAAATATGCTACAATTTTCAAATGTTTTGTATTCTGATTAAGAATAATTTTCAATTGGTAAAAGGACATAGGATCCTTCCCTAACGTGTGACTATGATAGCTCATAGTGAGTTCTAGGAAATCACAAGTTTAATATTAGAGTTTCTATCAAATTGAAAATGTCTAGATTACAGACTTTGCAAGAGACTCACATCTATCATTATCTGAACTACTTAAGGTTGAAAGATTCATTGCTAAATGCTTGGTGATGAGTTGATTTTGGGGGAGGAATTGGTACTGTAAGACAGAATATTACCTATGAAAATGTGCTAATCTACACAAATGCACATCAACAAAATTATGATCTTATCAAGCACTTCAGTTAAAAGATAAGATAAATAATTAACTCATATGCCTGTCTTTTATTTTCTGTGTATTCTTTTTCTAGGGATTTGGGGAATTGTTTGTAAAGGCAAAACAGAACAATAGTGATGGGAAAATTTCCAATGGTGACAATGGCCTCTTCTTCAGCAACTTTGCACTTCTTGGTACTCCTGTCCTTAAAAATATAAATTTCAAGATAGAAAAAGGACAGTTATTGGCTGTTGCTGGATCTACTGGGGCAGGCAAGGTATTCCATTTTATGTATGTTAGCTACAAACATTATTTACAAATTTATGATATATTTATTTACTCTTGCAACTCAAAGATTTCCTTAATATTTCCCTCTTCTCTTTCCAATGTTATTCTAATGTATGGTGTAGTTTAACATGGCATGCTGTTTTTAGTGGAATTTTTAGATATAATTTTTCTCCCATAATGATGAATGGTGAAGTAATTTAACTTCTCATGTAGGCACAAATATAAAGAATTATAGGAATAGTTTTTCCCCCCCAGATATGACACATTATTAGGAAGTATGGTATCAAATGGAGTCTATGAAGGGAATGATGGTCTTATACTACTATGCCTCCTGCATAGTGATACCTAACATAATGTTTATTGTTGTTGAGTCATTGTAGTCACACCGGTGTCTTTATGACCCCGTTTAGGTCAGATACTGGAATGGTTTGTCATTTCCTTCTCCAGTTCATTTTATAGATGGGGAACTGGTGCAAACAGGGTTAAGGGACTTGCCCAGGGTCACACAGCTAATAAGTGTGTGAGGCTAGATTTGAACTTGTCTTCCTTACTATCCCGGCATTCTATCCACTGTACCACCTACCTGCCCCATAATGTTTGTGAATTGTATAATAAATCCTCAGGAAATAATATGTTGAAGGAGTGATTTGGGGAACTATCTGCATTTTTATCAGAATTTACCAAAAATTTTTTAGGCTTTATAACAATACTGATGATCTGATACTACTGCAGATGTGGTGAGGTTTTTAAAATGTGGCCAGCCTTGGTGACTGGAAGTCTTAGGTTCAGATATTACCTCTGATACTTAGTAGTTGTGTGACCATGGGTAAATCACTTAAACACTCAGCATCAAATGGAGGAAGTTTCCATACTGGTTGCTTTCCTACATCAATGAAATCACAGGTCTAGTTTTTTTTTAAAGGCTGACATGTGCATATGTACACACATATACACATGTATACATGAGAGTATGTATGTATCATACATACATGTGCATGCACATATATACACAAATATGTATGTGTGTGTATTATATATGTATCTGTGTACATATAAACACATATGGAGTATCTCAAAAGCCTTAGAGAAGCTTGAGCTTTACTACATTAACACTGCATTAAGACTTAAAAAAAATTTTTTTAAGGCAATTGGGATTAAGTGACTTGCTCAAGGTCACAGAGCTAGTAAGTGTCAAGTGTTTGGTCTGAGGTTGGATTTGAACTCAGGTCCTCCTGACTTCAAGGCTGGTGCTCTATCTACCTAGTTGCCCCTGCATTAAGACTTTTGCAACACTTTTTATATGTGTGTGTATATACACACATATACAGGTATCTTTAAGGTTTTTCAAGCATGTTATATTAATTCAATTGCTAATATATGAAATATACTAAAAATATCACTGCTTCTATTATGTAAGCAATAATTTCTCATTTTATTACATTAAGTTATGCAGCCTTACAAAATTCTTTGCCTTTTTTTCTTTTAATAATGGGATAAATAGGAACAAGATAGAGAAGTTGATTTTCACAGTGCTTAGTAAGACCCTTGCTAAAGTATTATCTCTGGCATTCAGAAATTGTCAGAAATAATGAAGTCTTTATAGATAGTACATAAAAAAGGTAATTTAGGAGGTTAGAAAATAAGAAGAGTTAATGGATCCATATTTGTTAGTCTAAAGAGCAGAAGGCCAGCGTGTCGCTTCATACTGGTCACATTTCAATCCAATTTGACTCAACAAATGCTTATTAAATGTATGCCATGTACAAGGTACAGTGCTAACTGTTGTGGAAATAATTATGAAAAATTACCTATTACCTGCCTTCCTGGAATTTACAATCTCATTAGGGTGATTGATATTCCATGTGTACAAATAAATGTGATAAAAGATGGAATGTGATAAGGCAAAGGCAAAAGCCAGTCCAAGCACTTTGAGAATATTTGAAGGTAGAACTGCTTTCAGCTTGGACAATAAGGAGGAAATCAAGAAAGGCTTTATGGAGCAGGTGGTACCTGAGCTGGGTCTTGAAGAAAGAGAAGAGTTTCAATAAATATAGATAAATAAGGAGGGGAGAGAGTGCTAAGAGAAAAGAAGGTTGAGGAGACAGTGCTAGTGATAACTGAAATTTCAGGGTGAGAAAAGGAAAATAAATTGGTGGAGAATAGGTTCATTTGAGAAGGTAGCAAAGAATATAGACTGTTCAAGGGGAAATCCAAGGAAAAGGATGCAATGGAGAAAGCATCCAAGTTATTGTAGGAATTGATGAACAATGGCTCTCCATGACTTGCATGAGAATTAGTGAAAAAAGATTTAAAATGCATGAGCAATTTCCATTAGACCTTAAGAAAGAATTTCCTAACAGTGAGAAGTATTGGACATTAGAGTGGGCTACTAGGCGTAATTGCTTTATCTTTCTCTAAAGGGCTTCCATTAGAGGGTAAATTCTTGTTTGACTGTGATTGTCCAGATTTCATACTTCATAAAAGTATGTGGGGAAGGGCTGAATAACTTCACAACAGCTTTCAAGCTATTGCTTTTTCCATGAAAAGGCATTTTTCTAGGATCAAATATTTATAAGTGGTTGAACTAGGAACAACAGAACTGCAAGCTAAAAATTAAAATTAAAGTAGAAAGGTTCTTTCTAAACAGAGGACAATTAATCATACACATCTAGTCTTGTTATTAGTATTTTGAAGAAGTTATTACATGATACATGGGAAATAAATGTCAGAAAGTGTTCTCAGAGATTGAATTTGGTAATAGCCATTATTTAGCTCATTGGGTGTCAGTACCATTTCATATAATTTCCTTAGTGTTCTCTCTAATTTTGGTTTTCTATCCATGACACAGATTTTGCAAAGAAAGAACCGGTGAGATTTTTCTTCTTACTAAATAATTTCCTCTGCAAACTGTTTCCCCCCTGCCTTTTTTTTGGCCCTGTGTTCTCTTGATTTTTTTTTTTTAATCACCAGCTGTAGTCATTGTTAAGGGAAAAATTTGATGGAGGAAAGAAGGTTGCTTCAAGTCAAAGATAACCCCAAAAGAAAGTTTGCTAACAAGAAAATTGTTAGTGTATTTCATCCAATAGTTTTCTATTTGCTAATTCTGTCATTTATTATCAGTTATAGTATACAAAAGAAATAATTACCTCTGAATTATAAGACCTGTCCTTATTTAAATTACCAACAATTGTTTCAAGAAATGATGAACTATTAAATATTAGTTGTAAGATGACAATGGGAAAGGCCAAACCACAAGCTGAGAGGCAGTCCCTGCAAATAATACAACTAGGTCTTAGAAACAGAATCTGTCAAGGTTATGTATGAGAGAACGCATCTTTGTCAGAATCATGAAGTATTCAAAAGAACATTTTAGCATTTTATTGAGCAACAGAAAAAGATGAAAAATGCTCCAAAATAGCTATTTTAGGAAACTCCTGGGTGAAGAAACTCCTTCTCACCAGTATAGATTGGGACCTTCTCTGAAACTTACAGTCAGAGTTACTTAGAACATTGAGAAGGTAAAGGACTTTCCTAGGGTCACACAGCTAGTTTATGTCAGAAATGAGTCTTGAACTTAGGTTGTCCTGGCTCCAAGACTTACTTTCTATCCACTATGCTACAATTTTCTCTCCTTCTTCCTGTGCCTGTCCTTTCCCCCTCTCCAGCTACATTTATTGACTTGGAATATCTTTAAATAAATAATAGTTCATTTTTATATAGCACTTTCCTCACAATAACCCTGTAAGGTAAGTAGTACAAATATTATCATCTCCACTTCCTAGATGAAGACACAGGGCCTCTGAAAGGTTTAGTGACTTATATATCATTTCATAGCTAGTAAATGTCTAAGAAGAGATTCAGACCTAAGTCTCCTCACTCCAAACTCTGCTGTTCTGTCTCTCAGATTTGGAGTTTTGTCCATAACGAGAGCTTACAGGTGTGTTTTCATTTCATTCATTCAATATTCTTGTTTGGGATGACTTAGACATAATGCTGTTCTGGGGATGAAGAATGAATTCTAACCTCTCTAGGAGAATGTGTCAATATTTAATTTAGTCATATGTCTCATTTTAATGCTACTGGGTTTCATTTTCAGACTTCACTTTTAATGTTGATCATGGGAGAATTGCAACCTTCAGAGGGCAAAATTAAGCACAGTGGAAGGATTTCCTTTTGCTCACAGTTCTCCTGGATTATGCCTGGTACTATTAAAGAAAACATTATCTTTGGTGTTTCTTATGATGAATACCGATATAGAAGTGTCATCAAAGCCTGCCAACTAGAAGAGGTATGTCTTTATCTGAAATTTTTTGTAGCATATCATTTAGTAAGTTTGTGTGAGGAGTAGTCTTCTTACTGGTAGTGGGAACTGTTTTTATTATTATTATATTTGTTAAACATATTTTTTCTTTTTTCTACTTGAATTCTTAAAAAGGCCAACTCTATAGTGAAGTAGAAAAGCAAGGTATGTTATGGTTGGGTCATTACCAAATACCTGAGAGATGTGGATATTTCTGGTCACTAGAACATTAAGCATTTGTTGAGTTTGTTGCATGCCTGCCAGGTCTACCTTGCCAATAAGCTAAGGGCCAAGAGACAACCAATGTCAGATGGGGATGGAAGCATAGCTTTTGATGCAGGAAGGGTATACTTTATTGGGAACCCTTGCAGAGAACAATGTGGGGAAGGAAGTGCCGAGGATAATGGTGACTTAGGCTTCATAGCAACTGGCCACATGGTTACTAGAATGGAAATAAGCTGAGGTTCCAAACTAGGGCAATAAGTAGAGATGCAAAACATTACCTAAAGGATTGAGTCAGCTTTAGCAAACATATATTAACTGCTTCAGGGAAATCAATATGGGCAAGATAGAGCAGGTAAGAACAAGTTAAGATTGACAGAGCTCAAGTCAATGAAGACATCAACAGAGTGATGGAAGCTATGGAGCATCCATACAAAATGACTTGATGCCCAAGAAAGATATTTATGGATACTTTATAGAGAAAGACTTTTCTTGTCTAGGGAGTCAGGAGGGCCTAGAGTCACTAAGACATCCCCAGGAGAATCAAGGTTGAAAATTCAAGGTCTTTGTGTTGTTCATTTATTTATTGTGTCTGACTCTTCCTGACCCCATGGATCACAGCATGCCAGTGCTGTCCATGAGGTTTTCTTAGTGGTTTGCCATTTCCTTCTCCAGTGGATTAAGGCAAACAGAATTAAGTGACTTGTCCAGGGTCACATGGCTAGTTAATGTCTGAGACCAAGTTTGAACTCAGGTCTTCCTGTGCTTTAAACACTATTACCAGCTGCCTTTAAGTCTTTATAGGGTAGCATAAAAAAGAAGCATGGATCATTAAATAAACGCTTCCTGTGAACCAGAGAATACCTTAGCCAGAGATAAATACAATTGGGAGTTATATTCTAGAAGGGCTGAGAAACCTAGCAAACCTGCCAGATTAGATCAATATGGAGTTAGGAGTCTTCCCTGCTTTCTAACCCAGGCAGGATTTGGACTGGAATTTATATGTAAAGTCTTATGCTCATAGTCTCCCACCTCAGCAAAAAAGTACATATGTTTTTAGGGCTATCTTGGTCACCACAATTTCTTAGAGTTCAGTTCTGATTTTTTTGTTGTTTTCATATACGTTGTTGTAGTAGTTGTTGTGTACATTGCTTTCTTTGTTCTGCTTATTTCACTTTACATAAGTTCATATAAATTTTTTCAGGCTACTCTGCTTTAATTGAATTTATCAGTATTCTGTTGTTATAATATGCAATTATATTTCCCTTCTTCAGAAGTATAACAATTATATATCATAAACATCTTAATATTATTTTATATTTCATCAAGGTTATTATCAACTATTATCATATATACAATATAAAATAAACAATTATTGTATAGCAGTAGCATCTACCACTCATGTTTATGTAGGATGTTAAGTTTTACAAATTGCTTCACAGTAGCCCTGTGAAGTATAATTTGTGTTCCTTCAAAAATGTTGAAGGCACCTATGAAATAAAACAGTTAAACAGCAAAACATTTATCAGGTCCTTAATGTCTTCAAGGTACCATGCTAGAGAATGCATGGCTATTGCTCTCAGGGAGCTCGAAGGCATGGAAACATGTTCCTGTGGTCTAGTAGGCAGATGAACCCTCTTCTAAAATGACTGGCAGGTGATATTTAATAAGCAAGCTCTGAAGTAGTAAATGCATCACTTGAATGTAAAAGGAGTCTTAGATCACTGACCAATGGGCTCAGATTTTTCTGTTTATACATTTATAGGACATGGGTTCTTTTATGGTGCTCCAAAAGTCACCTTATGGGATGTCATTAAAACAACATAATTTACTGAAGAGAGCATAAGACTGCCATTTAGGAATTCTCAAAATAAACTGAGAATTAGAGCTCAATCAATGGCCTTGGTCATATAACCATATAACCTTTCTTGGCCTTGGCTTCTGTTCTTTGATCTAATAACAAATTTAAAATGATTCTATAGATTGATTTAACAAGTGAGTTACAGAGGTTTATTGTCTATTCATCACAACCAAAAATTATCTGAGTTCTTAAGATTTTGACTTATGTTTTAACTCATGAAATACATGCTATAGACTTTGCCATAGCTATTTATCTTAGAGTATAATGGTGATGTGTACACACCTTGGACCAGATACTAGTCTTTGCTTGGGAGTGATGTTCTTTCTACATTCATTGGTGTGTTCTTTGAATCTATGGTGCTATTTATTAGTCATTCTCCATGTAGTACTACTAGTATGTAATATTTAGTACTGATAGTTCCTTTCATAGCCTCTCACAAAAATTAGGACAGTAGCATAGATAGAGAGCATATGAAAATGTAAATGAACGAATTGGTGGGCTAGTTCACATTGTAAAACTAAAACCTCTTCAGTTTTTGTAAAAGTGTCTAGTACATTTTAGCAACGGGTTGTCTATATACCAATTGTTCAACAATTAGTTTACTAATATGCAGTTCTCTTGTCTTGCACACATGGCAGCCCTACTCTGGAAGCAGAAGAGAAACTTTCAAGGTAAAAAAGTGATATCCCATCCAAATATAGTTAGAAGCAACAGGCACTAGAGCAGTAAGAACAATATTGCTTAAAGCAGATGGTTGACATGTCCAAGGGAGTTCTTGGAGATTTCTGTCTGAGTTCTAAAGGTTACTCTGAGGGCATCATGGAAGTTAGAAGGCCTGGCAAGATAAAATGGAGGTTTCATTTAATAATTGAAGAGTTAGAACAACTTGAAGCAGATGTTTGTTTTCCTGTTTACTATCCCTTCGACACATATTAAGGGACCCTTTTCCCATGTCATACTGTTAAATAATTAGGCAGTCCCTTTGAATTAAATAGTATATAATTTTTTTATGAAATAGCAATATTGAATACTTTATTTCTTTAGAATAGTTATAATCCAATGACAAACCTACAATTTTATTTTTTAAAAGAAAAGCAAGCGTCAAGGTAAATGGATTATTATCTCTTTCAATGAATCTCTCTTGACTACTTCAACCTACAACAATATATTCCTCATCACCTGTATTGTTATTTAATTTATATTTTCCCTCAGATGCTTCACTTTTCTTGTCTTCCTAACATTAAAAAAAAAACTCCTTTAGAGCAGAGACTAAGGTTTATGCTTTTTTTATATCTCCCCAAATTCCTTAATCCAGTGGAATACACATAGTAGGTACTTGATAATTGTAGCTTAAATGAATATTGATGGACTACCTGTGTTGAGCTCTGTGAGTAAAGTACTTTGTAAGGAACATGTAGACAAGTAAATCCAGAAAAAAGTTCAATTTAGTATATTTCAGTTAGACAAGTACTATCCAGCAACTTCATCTATGTGGTCAGAATTGTGATTGGGGAAATAAAACCTTGTCGCAACCAGGAGCATTTCCTAAATACATGCCTATTCATAGGAAAATGTATATTTGTACTGTATACATAAGAATAGTAAGAATTCAGAGAAAAGGAAAATAATACTGTGTAGTGTGGGATTAATTGGAGAGCACTTCATAGAAGAGGTATCACTTCAAGTGGACCTTAATGGAAGTATAAAAAATCCCTAATTTACTAATTTAGTCTTTTGTTCCAAAAACACTTTTGCAAATCAGTTCTTTAGAATTCTGAATATAGTTTTTCACAGAAACAATGAAATGAATTTTAATGTTCCCGGTGTAGTCCATAAAACTTAACTGAAATTTAATAACAGTGTCCTGAATTCTTTATCCTAAGAGCATGGTCCCTGTGGAACAAGAGGGAGGAAGAGGAAGAAGAGAGTTTCTTCACCTTTTGCTTAGTTCAGGACCTATTGTAAGCAACATTTTGAAATGGATCAAGATTTTCCCTGATACCTTCTTACAAACTCCTTCTTTAGAAGGTAGGAGTAAAAGGAAAAGAAGAAAGGATAAAGAATCTGTTATTGGACAAGAGGAACAGAAGAGTAATAAAAGAATGGAAGCAGATAGTATCAAATATAGATCACTAGTATTGAACACACTCTTTTTTGATACCCTCTTTCTATTTGCAAAAAAAAAAAAGGATAGAAGGGAAAAGTATAGGACAGAAGGAAATACACAATTAACAATCATAAATGTAAGTGTGAATGGGATGAAGTCACCTCTAAAATTAAGGAGACTATCTTAATGCATTAGAAAACAAAATCTAACAATATTTTGTGTACAACAAACAAATTTGAAATACCTTTGAGACAAATTCACGTAGAATTACAATAAGGGGCTAGAAAAAGTCTTATATTTCATTTTAATTTTAAAAAGCAAAGCTAATAATTATAATCTCAAGTAAGGCAGCAATTAAAATAGTAATTAGAAGACTAAGAGAGATCAATTGATTAAAAGAGATAAATTGGGAGACTAAATTATGCTTAAAAGACAGCACAGACAATGAATCGATATTAATGCTTAGTACATATCCACTGAATGGCATAGTACCTAAATACTTAAAGGAAAGGTTAATTTACAGGAAGAAAGAGTATACCTACAATAACTGGGGATCTCAATGTATGCCTGTCAGACTTAGATAAGTCTAATAAAAGAATAAACAATAAAGAAGTTAGGGACATGAATAGAAATTTAGAAAAGTTAGGTGTAATAAATATATTGTGGTTACCAAATGGGAACAAAAAGGAGTATACATATTTTTCAGCTATATATTATATTACTACAAAAATTGACTGCGTACTAGAGCATAAATACCTGGTAAGCAAATACAAAAAAACATAAATCCTTTACTAATCA